GACACACACACACACGTACCATATACACATACACACACACACACGTGCACAGAGTTATCTCTTGAGCAGGGGATTGGTTTTATTCTCTTTTAGATACCAAAGTCATGGATGCTCAAGTCTTACATAAAATGGCCCAGTGTTTGTATATAACTTATGTCCCTCCTGCTATATACTCTAAATCTCTAGAATTTTTAATAATAATTAATATAGTATAAATGCTGTGTGAATAATTGTTATACTGTTTAACACTTTTAAAATTTGTGGGTTTTTATTGGTTTTTTATTTCTTTTTTTCAATATTTTGGATCCACAATAGGTTGAATCCACAGATATGAAACTTGTGGATAAGGAGGGTCTAATGTATGTGTGTGTGTGTGTGTGTGTGTGTGTGTGTGTACATGTATAAACATAGCATATACATTCCAAATATACATATAAATACATACAAAACAAGTCATTTGCAGGTTTAGTTTGGTTTTAAGTACTTAGAAGAAGCAGGAATTAGTTGGTAAGCAATAGAGAACCAGCTCTTATATGTGTTTTTCTGCTTTCCTTCACCCAACTCTTAGTACAGTAGTCATTTCTTCCCTGTAATATGATGAAATGATTCTCAACATTCGTGTGATTTCATGTTCTGTACAAAATTATTGAAGTGGCTGAAGTACAATTTTTTTTTTTTAGTTGCCAGTAGGCACATGAACTCGCTAGAGAGAGAAAAAGAAAGCATCCCCCAGTGGGGACTGGTCATGATGCATTTGCTTTCCTTCTGTCTCTCTATCCTGTTAGGATTTGGGGCATGCATACATATGCACCCTGCAAACTGCAATCAAGGGCCTGCCAGTGGTGTGGTGGTTAAGGTGCTGGAACCCACATGACCAAATACACAGTTTGATTCCTGGACCCGGCAGCTTGCAAAACATCCTGCATATGTGTACATGCCCTAAATCCCAAGAGAATGAAGGAGAAAGGATTGTGGCATGGCCATCCTCCCTGGGGATGGTTTTTATACCTTCCCTCCTCTTTTGGTCTCTGACAAGTGCACGTGCCCCAGAACAAAACTACAAAGCAAAAAACCACGGTAAACCTGTGGGATCCTGCTTTCCACACACAGCACTTAACTGCTGCTCTACAGGAGCAGCCCCTAAAGTACTCTTTTTTTTTTTTCAGTTTGCCAGAAAGCACATGGACTCACCAGAGAAAAAGTCAGAGAGGGAAAGGTAAAAGCACCCCTCAAGGGGTTGTGGTCAAGTTGCAATTCCTTCTTCTTTTTGGATTTTGGATACACATATACATATGCCCAGCATGCTTTTTATTTTTTAAAGAATTATATATTTATTACTATAATTATTTTCACATGTGTTTGCCAGAGAAAGACAGAGCGAGCGAGCGAGAGAGAGAGAAAGCAAGCGGCCAGGTCTGGCACTCAGACCATAAGCAGCCATATGGGAATTCCAGTGCCTTAACTACCATGCCACCTGCTGACCCCCCAGCATGTTTTTCAAACTGTGGGGACTGGATTTTTAAGTTTTTGCTGTAGGGCATGTGTGCTTGCCAGAGAGAGCATGAAAGAGAAATTATCCCCCAGGGGATGGCAACCTTTTCCTTGAGTTTCCTCTCAGGATTTTTGGCACACATACACACACACCTGGCATGTTTTTCAAACTGCCAGGTCTGGGACTTGAACTGTACAGTTGATCATGTGGGATCCAGCATCTTATTAACCACCACATCACCTGCTGGCCCCCATAATGGATTTGAAAACATTAAAGTTCAGTAAGTTTTACTATTTTTTTAAAAATAATTATTTTATTCATTCATTTATTATTTAATTTGACCAGACAGACAAGAGTAAGAGAGGAAGTGAGAAAGCAAGCCACCAAATTCAGTACTCGAACCCTGGTTGGCCATGTGGGAGTGTCCAGTGCCTTAAACACCACACCACCCACTGGTCCCTAGTAAGTTTTACTATTTTTAAAACTAAAAGTATTATGTGACACAGATTCCATTGCCCTGCTAAATTTGCATATCTTTTCCTGCTTCCCTTTTCCCTTTTTACATCTTTTTTTTAAAGAATTATTTTATTAAAAAAAAAAGAATTATTTTATTTAACTTCATTTATTTTAATTTGATCAGAGGACAGAGTGGGACAGAATAAGAGGGAGGGAGTGAGAAAGCAAGCCTCCAGGTCCAGGACTTGAACCATGGTTAGCCATGTGGGAGCCCAGTGCCCTTAGCCACTACACCACTTTCCAGCCCCCCTCCCCCCGCCTTTTTACATCCTAACTATAATTATATCTTTGTCTAATATAATATATCACATTTGCATGCCACTGTTCCAGGAACTTCCTCATATGTCTATACCTCAGTTTTCTGTCCTCAGGCAGATCATGTGTCTGCCTTAGCATCCAATTTTTTATCTATATTTGTTTTGATCGCATGATATTGAAAACATGTTGATTTTAAATAGTGAATATTTAGAATTTTGGGGTTTTTTCCCCATTGGTCCTTCAAACTTAAAATACTGCTAGAGGGGTCAACAAGTAACATAGCGGTTAAGGTGCTGGATTCCCACATGGCTGACTGCATTCGAGTCCCAGATCCAGTGGCTTGAAACTCATGCTGGGTGCATGTACATGCATTCAGAAAATCCTGAGAGGAGAATGGAGGAGAAGGGATTCTGGCATGGTCATTCTCCCAGGGGATGATTTCTGTCTCTCTACCCCTATAGCAAAAATTTATCAAAAAAAAAATTTTTTTTTAAATACTGCTTCAGGAGGTAGCAGGTGGCATAGTGGTTAAGGTGCTGGATTTCCACCTGGCCAGTTGCAGTTCATGTCCCAGACCTGGTGACTTGAAAATCCACAACAAATACATACATACATACATAAATGAATGTTTAAAAAAAAAAACAAAAATACAACTACTTGATTGGGCCAGCAGGTGGCGTGGAGGTTAAGGCAGCTGGATCCCTCATGGCATGGCCAACTAAGCAGTTCAGGTCCCAGCCCTGGCAGCTTCAAAATCACACTGAGTGTGTGTGTGTGTGCACGTGTGCGTGTATGTGTCCCCCCCCCAAAGTGTGTTTGTGTATGTGTGTGTGTCCAAAATTCTGAGAGAAGAATGGAGAAGGGATTGCAGTGTGGCCAGTCCCTTATGGGGTGGTTTGTGGGTAGACTAGATGATTTCTCACTTTTCCTCTCTTTCACTCTAGTCAAACCCAAAAAAAAAAAAAAAAAAAAAAAGATTTTGCTTGATTTAGCAGAGATGGCAAGAGATCTTTGCTTTCTGCCTATATAAAAAAATTAGTGAAGAGGCTGTCAGGTGGAGTGGTGGTTAAGGATGCTGGACTCCCACATGGCCGACCATAGTTTAAGTCCTGTACCTGGTGGCTTGCTTTCTCATTCTCTCTCTGGTCAAGTTAAAATAAATAAATAAAATTAAATAAAATAATTCTTAAAAAAAAAAAAAAATACTGCTTCGCTATATTCGTAAATATTCACTAATGGGCCAGCAGGTGGAGTGGTGGTTAAGACCCTGGACTCCCACATGGCTAGCTGCCGTTTGAGTCCCAGACCTGGGG